AAAACGATGAGTTCGTGTCCTTTGTAGGGACATGGATGAACCTGGAAACCATCATTCTCAGCAAACTGACACAAGAACAGAAAATCAAACACCACATGTTCTCACTCATAGGTGGGTGTTGAACAATGAGAACACATTGACACAGAGAGGGGAACATCACACACTTTGGTCTGTTGGTGGGAAATAGGGGAGGGACAGTGCGGGGTGGGGAGTTGGGGAGAGATAGCATGGGGAGAAATGCCAGATATAGGTGATGTGGAGGAAGGCAGCACATCACACTGCCATGTGTGTACCTATGCAACAATCTTGCATGTTCTTCACATGTACTCCAAAACCTAAAATGCAATAAAAAAAAAAATGAACGGAAAAAAAAAAGATTTATTTATGTTGCAAATATCCATTTTTTCCCCATTGCTGTAAAGTAGCAGTCTGCAACCTTTTTTTTTTTTGAGATGGAGTCTTGCTGTCACCCAAGCTGGAGTGCAGTGGCACAATCTCAGCTTACTGCAACCTCCATCTCACAGGTTCAAGCAATTCTGCCTCAGCCTCTGGAGTATATAGGATTACAGGCGCCCGCCACCGCGCCTAGCTAATTTTTGTATTTTTAGTAAAGATGGGGTTTCATCATATTGGCCAGGCTGGTCTTGAACTCCTGACCTAGTGATCCACCCATCTTGGCCTCCCAAAGTGCTAGGATTACAGGCATGAGCCTCCACGCCCCACCTATTCTCCAACCTTTTTGACACCAGGGGCTGGTTTCACAGAAGACAATTTTTTCATGGACGGAGAGGGCGGGTGGGGATGGGATGGTTTCGGAATGAAGCTGTTTCACCTCAGATCATCAGGCATTACAGTCTCATAAGGATCACACAGCCTAGGTCCCTCCCGCGCACAGTTCACAACAGGGTTTGTGCTCATATGAGAGTCTAGTGCCACCACTGATCTGACAGGAGGCGGAGCTCAGTTGGTAATGTGAGCAATGGGAAGCAGCTGTAAATACAGATGAAGCTTTGCTGGCTTGCCTGCTGCTCACCTCCTGTTGGGTGGCCTGGTTCCTAACAGGCCATGGACTATTACCTGTCTGCAGCCTGGGGGTTGGGGACGCCTGCTGTAAAGTATTCTGAATGAGCTATATATACTGTATCTATTATACTGCTGATGAATATTTGTGTTCTTGTTTTCATTTTGAATAAAACTGCTGTGAACATTCTTGTACATGCCTTTTGGTAGAAGTAAGCAATAATTTATTTTAGGTACTTGGGTCTCCATATATATGTTTAGCCTTAGTAGATACTGCCAGACAGTTTTTCCAAGCAGTTGTTGAATTTACACTCTGTCAGCAATGTAACAGAGTTCCAGTTATTTTACATCATTAATACTTCTTGGTGTTGGCAGTCTTTTTAATTTTAACCTATCATGGCTACTAGAGAAAGGGTTAAAGTTTTTTGAGAAGCATGCCATAGGATGTTTCCCTGGCCTGAATCTATTAATTGCCTTTTAGTTTGATTGTCCAACTCCCATGGTTCCATTTTGTTCTCAGTACAAGTACTGAGTAATTTAAGTAACTTAGTGGCATGCCTTTACTGAAATCCACATATATTTTTGTGTGAGACTTTTTTTAGTCAGCAAGGACCAGAGATATTTGCAGATTATTATTGTGAAGACTGTATTGTACTTTAGCTTAAGTAAGGAAAACAGGTGAAGCAAATACCTTTTAAGAGAACAATGGGAAAGTCGCTTAGAACCCAAGGTAGCTCAAAAGCCTAAACCTTCTTGAGCCCTCAGCAGTCGGATCTATTGCTTCTTCCTTTAGAGCTGTCACATCCTGGTAACTTAGCTTCACTTTACTGTTCCTGCTGCTCTGACTCCTCTGCTTATACCTCCTCTTCATATTAACTTTCCTTGTGTCTATTTCTTCTAGCTACTGCCCCAGCTACCAACTAGAGGAGTCACTCCCGACAACTATTTCAAGGTAGAATTTTCACTAAGCCATTTCACAGGCTGTGGTCAATCTATGCGTTAATCCACATTGAGACAAGTGTCCATCCATAGTCCAGTTAGGTATGGCTCCAGTAAGCAGGACCATGTGGTATCAACATGGCTATTTACGATGAAGACATTCCCTTAGAAGGGCACTATGGGAAAAGCAAGCAGTCTGAGTACCTGGCTAGTTTAATTGTATATATTATAGTCTAATTACTGTGTATATTATATTCTAATTCAGTAGACATTTCTCAAGCCCTCTCCTTATCTGTCAGTAAACTCTTGGAAAAGAAAATGAACTGTTTATACTGAAGAACTTTTTTTTTTGAGACAGTCTCATTCTGTCACCTAGGCTGGAGTGCAGTGGTATGATCTCAGCTCACTGCAACCTCCATCTCCCAGGTCAAATGATCTTCCCACCTCAGTCTCCAAACTAGCTTGGCCTATAGGCACACTCTGCCATGCCCACCTAATTTTTTTGTAGAGACAGTTTCACCATGCTGCCCAGGCTGGTCTTGAACTCATGAGCTCAAGCTATCCACTTGCCTCTGCCTCCCCAAGTGCTGGGATTACAGGTGTGAGCCACTGCACCCAGCCTGAAGAACTCTTCATGGTGAACCTATCCCTGTAGACTGGTTGCTAACAGGCCATGGACTATTACCAGTCTGCAGGCTGGGGGTTGAGGACCCCTGCTGTAATGTATTCTGAATGAATTATACTGTATCCATTATTCTGATGATGAATATTTGTGTTATTTCATACTTTTTTATGAATAAAACTGCTATGAACATTCCTATACATGCCTTTTGGTAGAAATGGTATATATAAATTCTGTAATGTCACATTATACCACATTATGCCACTTTCCTAATGCTTATAGTCTCCTTTTATATGTTCTCAAATAATATATAAGTCCTAAAATATATCTGTAGAACAGGGTCGAGCCCAAAGTGAATTTTATTTTGTAGACAGCGGAGGTTAGGATGTGTGAGGTATACCTGGTTGTTTTAATTCCATTTTACAGATGAGGAAACTGAGGGCCAGAGAGGCAATGAGATTTTCCCAAAGTCACATGGCTAGGAAATGGGGGGCAGAGGCAGGGGGCGTCAGGAATTAAATCCAGGTTTTCTGGTTCCATATCCAGAACTCTGTCCATTACCTGACACTGACATGCCCCATACTCATGTCCAGACTAATAAAAGCACAAAGGAGATTTGATAAAAGCAAACTATAGCCAAGGCAAGTGGTGAGAATTGAGAGGAGGCAGATCTCCTAAAGGCTGAGGTGACCTGGGGGACTGCCTCAAGGTTTTGAACTAGGCCTTGTAGAGTTGGTTGGATTTAGAATGGTGTAGAGAAGGGAGAATGGTGCAAATGAAGATACAAAAGTGAGGAAACGAGATTTTCCAGAGACAGAAAAGAGACTCGTATTGCTGGGTTAGAGGGTTTATATAGGAAAGGAGTGGTAAAATGTGTGGTAAAAAGTAATGAGAGCTTGATAGCTGTGACAACTTTGATTTTTAAAAAATCAGATCATAGCCATGCACGCACAGTGGGTCATGCCTTTTATCCCAGAGCTTTGGGAGGCCGGGGTAGGAGGATCGCTTGAGTCCAGGAGTTCAAGCAGTCTGGACAACATGATGAGATCCTGTCTCTAAAAGAAGTAAAAAAAAATTGGCTAGGCTTAGTGGTGTGTGCCTGTAGTCCTAGCTACTCAGGAAGCTAAGGCAGAAGGGTCGCTTAAGCCAGGAATCCAAGGTTATAGTGAGCGAGGTTTATACCCCTGCACTCTAGCCTGAGTGGTAGAGTGAGATCTGTCTCTAAAAACAAAAACAAAACCAGATCACATCATGATATTATGGTGAGAAGAAAACTTGAAGTCATTGGTTGTTAAGATTCCAGGCTGAGGTGAAAAGGACTAAACTAAGATGATAGCAGCTGGAAACACATCAGATTTAAGAACGTTGAGAAGGCAGGATGAACAGGATCTGGAGACGGCCTAAATATAAGGGGAGGAGAGAGACATAGAAAAGAGAACTGTCACCTGAGAGTTTGAGCCTTTGTGACTGGGACACTCTGGTACCAGCATCAGAAGAGGAGGAGGCAGTATGTGTAGTGGGTTAGCTTACAGGCTTTGGAGCAAAGCAGACCTGGGACCAGTGACTTAACTCCTCTGAGAGGGTTTGCTGGCTGCTGTGTAGGGAGACAGATTCCCACTTCTCAGAGTGGATGTGAGGGTGGGAGGTATTGCAGGTAAAGTGAAATTCTATAATGTCACATGCTTGGTATCCAGGCGCTTAACCAAACTTTAGCTCTCCTCCTCCTCACCCCAACTTCTCTGGAAGATAGCAGAACCCAGTTCAAGCGTCATTTTTTTCATAGGCATACATACAATATGCTCTTTTTAAAAAATAATAATAATTAAACAAAAAGGAACTGGCTTTTCAGAGAGAATAGGCTCTTCCACCTTGTACTCTGAAGTAGAGGACAGATGGAGCCTCTGGGCCGGTCTCCAGATCCCCTACCTTTTTTTTTTTTTTTTGGCATCCTTTGATATCTAAGCTTTAATCAAACATTCAAGGAGCCTGGTGTGGTGGCTTGTGCCTGTAGTCCCAGCTACTTGGGAGGCTGAGGCGAGAGGATCACTGGAGCCCAGGAGTTGGAGCCACCCTGGGCAACATAGCAAGAACTACATCTCTTTAAAAAATTATATATATATTAATATATATTATATAAATAATATAAAGTATAATATATCATAATATCTAGTAATGTTATATACATATATATGAAATAAAATACAAATTTAAGCCCACAGAGAGAGTTAAAGATATCTTTGTAAGGCTAGGTGCTTCCAGAAGCAAGCAACTCTACTGCCTCTCTGGTGTCGTCATGGCCTCCCCCTTGGGACTATTTCTGAGCTTAAGGGTGGAACTCTGGTGGCTCACTGGATTGCCGTGTGCCTGTAAAACGTGCCCAGCTTCCAAGCACTGCGTTTCTAATAGTTTGGAAATTCTCATTGTCACCCAGAGATACGCAGATGGAAACTTGGTTTGGGCAGAGCTCTAGCAAAGGCTGCACTGAGATGCCCGTTCCCTTGCCCTATTAACCCAGGCAGCGCAGGCAGCCCAGCCAGCTGGGGCTGCCATTCTGGAGCTGCTTCCGGCATGCTTCTCCTACCCTGGCAGCGTGCCCGCCAAGGGCTCGCAGTGCGGCACAGAGTGTAGCGCAGTGCCACACCGGCCTAAGCCGCGTGACTCTCCTTCCACCCTGGCCATCACGTATTTCCGCACGTGCGCCCAGTTGCCATAGCACCTGCAGGCACCGGGACTCAGACTCAGCAGGCCTCGCTGGCCACCTAGCAGCCTGGGTGGCCTTTGGGCTGCGGCTGGCTACCGCTTTCCAGTAGAGAAGGGCGGTCCCTGGCTGGTGGCCTGGGGCTGGCCTCGCCCCACTTCCTTTCCTTGGCATACTTGACCCTGAGTTCTGGTCCGCAACCCGTGTTCATTTCCCACCCCTCTTCCGCGCCCCGATTTCCCGTTTAGAAAGTTCAGAATTGAACAATCTGGCGGTGTTCTCTCGCCAAGGCATAGCTTCCATAAGGAGGGCAGGCGACAGAACTTTGTTCTCATTTTGCAGTCATTCCCCTAATATCACTGGAAACAACTTCTTGATCATTCCAGAGGTGGGCACTTCTAGCCCCAGGCAGGATGTTGTTTGGGCCCTGTAAATCTAGGGCTCTTCCAGCCTACCTCCCTGGCACTGGGCTTGCCACATGTAAGGGAATTGGATGGCTGGTTTATTTCCATCTTATATGAGAAAAGGAAGGGTTCATACCAAGGGTTCGAGGAAAAAAGCTTGAACCTGAAGGATCACAGAATCCTGCACCTCCACTACCTGTGAGACACTGGGCAAGTTACCTTGCTTCTCTGAACCCCAGCAGCTTCATTTGTAAAATGGTTGTAACAAAAGAATCTCTTAGGCTTCGTATAAGTCTATATGAGATAATACAGGTAAAGCAGTTAGCCAGGTGCCTGGCTTATAAGTATTCTATAGGAGCCAGTCAGCTGTTTTTACAAACAGATACAGCTGTACTGCTAAGAACCAAAGTACTCACATCCAACAGTTGGCAAACATTTTCATATTCATCCAATTTTTGCTCATTTATTAAATTATTCATTTGTTTAACTCATTAATGCATTCAGCATGTGTTTACTGAGCATATTATCAGTTAGCTCTTGCCCTGGTCCAGCTGTATTTTCGAAGACCCACCCCCAGGAGAGTTTTAACTGGCCTTGCAAGAACTGATGAAGTCTAGTCTGGTGGGTTGGATATAAGATCTTATTCTACTGGCAGTGGGGGTTCAAAATGTGTTTTTTTGCAGCTCTAACTTCATAGACTGAGGTCCCTGAACAAAGCAGACCTCTCTCATGTCTGGGAAGCACTAAGACATAATAGCTTTCCACAACCACCTTTGCTTCTCACCCCTTACGCTTGGGGAGTTGTGTCCCTCTTCTCCAGAAAGTCCCAGTCAGCAAGCCGGAACCTGCTCTTTCTGTGCTTTGCTGTGCTGGAGTTGCCAGAACAACCCTATTCTGTTTTCAATGCTCCCAGCACTTTCATGCTGTATCCTTCTAATGCTGTCTCCTTCTTGCCCCCATTGTGCATGTCAGGCTCTGTCTCCAATTGGAATGGATTGGCCATACTGCTGCTCATACTTGCTTGCACTGCCACCCCCTCACCCCCATGCCCTGCACTTAGATTGTGTGGCAGAACCACTACTGAGCAGGCACTCTTCTGGATGTCTGAGAGAGGATCTAACACATGCACAGTCATCAGATATCATATGTGTGATAAGAACCATGATACATAGTGTTGTGGGAATAGCCAGTCTGGGGCCGCTGGCTCTGCCTAAAGAAGTCAGGGAAGGCTTTACCAGGAGGTGATAGGTGATGTTTTTGAGTCTTTTTTTTTTTTTTTTGGAGTCTTGCTCTGTTGCCCAGGCTGAAATGCAGTGGTGGTGTGATTTCGGCTCACTGCAACCTCCACCTCCCGGGTTCAAGGGATTCTCCTGGCTTAGCCTCCTGAGCAGTTGGGATCACAGGCACCCGCCACCATGCCCTGCCAATTTTCTTTTTGTATTTTAAGTAGAGACAGGGTTTCACCATGTTGGCCAGGCTGGTCTCGAACTGCTGACCTCAAGTGATCCACCTGCCTCAGCCTCCCAAAGTACTAGGATGACAGGCATGAGCCACCACACCCGGCCGAACACTATTAAAGTATTTACCTTGGTAGACAGTGGGAGAAAGTGTATTTCAGGCAAGAAGCATAGCATGCATAAAGAGCTGAAATTCCATGATGTTCTTAGAGAAAAAGTAATGTTATGTGACTAAAACAAAAGGATTATGTTATTTGGGTTGAGGGCTCATGAGTAGCAGAGGGAGGAAATGAGGCCAGAGAGGTAAACAGGGACCTATTCATGAGGGCCTCGTAGGATGTTTTAGGCTTTACCCTACCAACGCTGAGATCCTGTGAAGGTTTTATACAGCGGCATGACATGGTCAGATTTGTGCATCAGGAAGGTGGGATGCATGGTTGTAAGGGGTAGATTGTCTCATTTGTCCTCTAGCAATTCTGTAAGACAGGCAGGGAAGACACTGTTATTTGCTTTTTACACCTGAGAACACTGAGACCCAAGAGGTTAAATCAAATACCTTGCCCCTTAGGTCTCAGAGCCAGAAAAGAGAGGACCTGGGACTCACCTGGCTTCCTGGCCCTGAATGTCTTTCTCCTGGGTGCATTGCCATTGTTAAGAGAGTCTTCCAGAAAGCTGCTTGCAGCTGAGCATTGGGTAGATGCTGGCAGGAACGTTCTGAAGCAAATGGCCATTGATACAATTTCACTGAGGAAGTATAACACTGGGATTTTGCGTCCTTTTGGTGTTCAGTCTCTTGACCTCTTGATCTCTTGTGCCAGCGCACAGAGAGCAAGAAGCAGTGGGGAACTTTGAGCCTCAAGCTCTACATTGGTTTGACAAAATCCATTCATCACTGTCTCACTCATTAATGTGCTGTCTGATACTGATGTTTGTCAGTGACTTGTTTCTGGAAGCCCATGGTCCTCGAGGCTGGTCGGCTCTACAGTCCACAGCCCGAGGGTGAACCCCAGCAGTCAGAGGCAGGGCTTTTCTCCCTCTGCATTTTGTAAAATAAAATAATTTTAAAACAACAACAAAGGTAATATGATGTGGCAGTAAAGAACACTAGCTTGGCGATCAGGCAGACCTGGGTTTTAGTTCTGCTGCGGCCACTTGTCTAGCTGTGAAGGTTATTTAATATGTATGCGTCTTGGTCTCCTATGTCTAAAATAAGCAAAGTGAAACTTACCTGAAAAGATTGTTGTGATGGCTAAAATGTGAGAATGTTTATAAAGTACCTTGGCATGACACCTGGCACGTATGAATCCTCAATATGCTGGCTTTAATTCCTGCAGTTACTGCTGCCACAGCCACCACTACTACTGCCACCACAGTTAAAGAATATTTGGAAAATAGAGAATAGTAGAAAAAATATCTTACAATCTTACCACCATGATACAGCTACCCTTATAATTTTAATTTCCTTCAAATCCTTTTCCCTCACCACTTCTAAACATTCCTGATTTTATAGTATATATATTTTATACCCATATGGGCTTTTTTTTTCTTTGTGGTGGTATCTGCATTACACTTATTTTGTCTAACTTTTAAGATTTTTTTCTGATTATAAAAATTGTGCATAAAATTCAGAGTATAGAAAAAAAAGAATAATCATACTCATTGTTAATATTTTGATGTTATCTCCTTCCAGTCATTCCTATTCATGCTTTGTTATAGAGTTTGAGATCATAGTACATATACAATATTTATGTAATTTTTAATATTATGAATATTTTCCTGTTATTATAAGCATCATTTTCCAAGGCTGCATAAGTCCAGCAGATGGCTCTACCATAATTTACATAAGCATTCCCTGATTGTTAGACATCTGAGCTTTTTCCAGTTCTTCAGTCTAAATAGCTTCCTGTAGTCGACCTAGGGAACCAGCCTCATTACAGCCAGGAAGCATATAATGAACTTGTACTGTATATATGGTCCTGAGTGAGGCACAGTGGGAGACCTCAGGTCAATCAGACACAGAGCCAGCCTTAAAGGAGCTCAGAGACTAAACAACCTGGAAATACTTACTGGCAAATAAGCACTGTCAGGGGTTCCACTTAAGTGTGGGTAACCCTTTTTCCTGTGGAAACTGGGATCTGGGAAGCATAGCTTCTACACAGGAAAAAGCCTGGGAAGCCTTGCTGCTCCTTCTCACCTGTGAATATGCAGGTTGGCTTCTAATGCTCAAATGCCTTTTGAGCTACGCTTGTCAGGAGCCTGAGCTAAGAACCATTGAATATTAACTAAGAACTGTTGAATATTACTTCCAAGTGGTTTTCACTAGGAAAGAGTGAAAAATACCACCAAAGGAACTTGTGGGAGAATTAAGAGAATCAGAGTGGCTCTAGTAATAGTTTTTAATTTTTTTTAATTGACATAAAATTGTATACATTTACTGTATATAACATGATGTTTGGAAATACACATGCATTGTGGAATGGCTAAACTGGCTAATTAACATATTACATCTCATAGTTGTCATTTTCGTGGTGAGGAAACAAAATCTACTTTTAGCATTTTTCAAGAATTTAATATATTGACTATAGTCGTATATAATAACATGGAAGAACCTGGAAGATATTATGTTAAGTAAAATAAGTCAGACACAGAAAGACAAATAACACATGATCTCGTTCAGTAAGGAATCATTCATATGTGGATTTAAAAAGTTGATTTCATTGAAGTAGAGGATAGAGTGGTGGCTCTCGTCTTAGTTTTGTCACAGACGTGCCCTGGGACCTGAGGTAAGTTACTTCTCCCTCCCAGGCTTCTGTCTTCTCCTTATAAAGTAGGTGATCTCCAGGGCTCTTCCAACATTAACATTCCAGAGTACTTGAAACGTTCCTCTTGTCAGGAGCTAAAGAGAGTATCCTGATAAAGGTCATAGGATAATTCTCCAAAGTCCAGAGCTACTCTTAATTAGTCCTGGGGAACCATTTATGCTTTTGTATTTCCAGTCCTTCCTTCGCTAGCAGTTGGGACATATGGAGACTGAAGGGCAAGTGTCTCTCACTGGTTGGAAACCCTGGATTCAGAACATCAAAAATTGTGTTTTGTGCGTTAGGTATTTTTTTTTTTTATGTACTTTGTTCTTTCATTCATTCCCTCTTTTAGCAGATGTTAACTGAGTCCCAGGCCTTTTCCAATCCATCTGTGCAATACAGAGGTGAAGGAGACTAAAATAGATGTAGTCTCATAAAGAGACAGGAAACAATGATAAGAGGCAACAAGATGGTTGCTACGGTGGGGGTACATTTAAGGGCATAGGACAGGTGCATCTGAGCCTGCCTACAAGCAACAGCAAAGGGGTCTTAGTAGATACTTTGAGATTTTAAAGGATAAGTAGAATTTTTTTAGGTACACAGTAGAGGAGAGGACATTCTGGGTGGAGGAACAAACATGTGCAAAGGGCAAGAGGTGTGAGAGAACATGACATGTTAAAAGAACTGCAGATAGTTTGTGTGGCTGGTAGGTGAAAAGGAGAGTGGACAGATGAGAAAAAGTCAAACATTTCTCAATGGACCAGTCTGTTTCCACTGAATTCTTTGCTCATTTTATCAGTCCACATGAGAGTAATGGTCTTTTTAGTTCAGTTTTCAAAAACTGTTATCTTTATTGCCTTATTTTTCCATTTTTACAGTAACATATGCTCATTATAGAAAGTTTGAAAAATACAAAAAGTAAAAGGAAGAAAGGATTTAAAAAATTACTCATGGTCTCACTAGCTAAAGACAACTTTAATACCTGATGAATTTCCATTCAATGTTGTTTTTACTTTCTCTTTTTATGTGGCTGTGAATGTGTTGTAATTATAGTCTCAACCTTTGTGTATGATGCTCCTTTCTATTTCCTTCCTAAAATTTGCCAAAAATGGAGGTTAGTGTCATTAGAAAAGAACTCTGATTATAAAATACACTAGCTGAAATATCTATCCATTTTCTTTGTCTAATATAAGTGTTTTTTTTTTTTTCTTTTTTTACAGGTCTCTTGTGGCTCAGAGCATAATTTGGCAGTAATTGGTAAGTAATTTTTATACTGATAACTGTTTCTTCTGAAAATTATGTGGCAGAATTGAAGACTTTGGTTAACCAAAAGCCACAGTGCATGCCGGCATGCATGAGTGTTAGGGGAGACTGGGGGAAATGGAAGTCTTTGGTTGACCAAGGGTTTACTAGAAGCTCTTTTCCTGAATATTTCAATTCATATTATTGAGCATCATTTTAAGGTGTCTTAGCTGGCTTCCCTGCCGGGGAAGTGGCATTTGAGCATATTAAAGAACTTACAGGCTGGGGGTCATCATGTGTAGAAAGCCAGACATAAAAAGGAAGGATGATTAGACTGCTTCTGTTTTTTTGAATAAACCCCCATTCTAAGTTCTTTCCTATCGGTTTGGCTCTTTCTTTGTAAATATGCGGCTCTGCTCACTGCCCTCACTGCCTTGTATTTAGTGGCATTCAGAAACTCTCAGTTGGACTCAAACATTTGGTTAATAAAGGCTTCCTTTTAGTTGGCCCTGGAGAATCACAGTTTAGTGTTTTTATAATTAGATCTATGAGTACTTCATCCAAAAAGCCTTCTCATTACTTCCACAGATAGACTCAGTTTCCATCTCACAGTACATTAAAGAGACTACAGTGTAGGGCCAGATTGCCTAAGTTCAGTACAGGCTTCTGCTTACTAGCCATGTGAACTTGGACAAGGTATTTTACTTCTCTATGCTCATCTTTAAAATAGGGAGGACAGTAGTGCCTACCTTGTAGTGTTGTTGGAGGGATAAATGAGTTAAGATATGTAAAGCACATAGAATGGCACTTAACTTCTAGTAGGGGCTTTGGTAATGTTTGTTATTATTACCTGATATTATATGTTCAAGTAATTGCCCTCCTGTGGGCTTTAGTTGCCCCATCTGTAAAATGGAGAAGTTAAAACAGAAAACTAGGTTTCTGTCCAGCCCTGATATTTTAGGACTCTTGTTACAACCCCACCACTGACTGATTTGTGTCAATAATTTCTGCTCCTGGTCACTCCTGTCTCCTAGCTTCTAACTTTGAACTTCTATCAGGCAAGGCCCTTGTGTTTTCCTCATTTCTTGCCTATTCACAGCACCTAAAGCAGTTTGTGGCTCTTAGCAGAGACTCACACATTCTTTTCTGGATTGAGCTAGACTGGCTCAGCTGCCTGGGGTGGCAGCAATTTGAAGCACTACTTTGCAGGCCCAAACATGATGTATAAAGAGGCAGAACCAAGGACAGCAGAGAAGGTGGGGAGTCACTGGGGCTGGAGTTAGAGAAGGAGCTAGAAAATGTAACAGCAAACCTGCATACTTTGCAGTAGTACCAGATACTTTTTACTGAAACTGCTTCAGCCTGGGTGTAATTAAGACAAGCTAATCGAAGAGTCAAAGGCGGTTCCTAGGACATTGCTGCTACTGCTATCATTGGACTGGGAGAGGTTGGGTTCTTCTGGAACCATCACAAACAAGAAGATTGCAGGGAATCTAAATTTGTGAAAGCACAAAGTCCAGATGAAGGAATGGGTGAGAGCTAGCAAAGCAGCAGGTTGAGCTGATGTAGGCAGCCTGGGGCTGTAGAAGGAGCAAGACTGCAGGCAGACAGCCTTGGTTCAAACCGGCTCCATCTCTGTGTGAGCATCATTTTTCCCCTCATCTTTGTAATGGGGATAATCATTCCACCTTTCAAGATTATTGCGATGAGGTGAGATAATTTATGTGAAATATCTGGCAGATAAAAATTCCTTTGGTTTCTCTTTTCTCTTGGTCAGGTAGGGGGAAGGGAGGAATATTTGTTAGTGTAACTGTTCTAGTGAAATATTTCTTTGTTGGGAGAGAAACAATGACATTCTGGAAAGATGGGTTCAGTGTTACCTGTGATAGGCTATCAGAGGCAGTGGGAGAACAGGGCATGCTGGTGAGCACTTGAGGGCAGACCTGTTATTTTCCATTTTATCCCCAGTGCCTGGGACCTGGCTTATAGACTGCTGAATGAATGGTTTCAGAGTCAGGAAAGGTGAGTGTAGTCACCGGGCTCTGCACATACGTACCTGCCTGCCAGCTGGGAGCAAGAGGCTCTCCATCACTGGAGGAATGAGGTTCTTAGTGGGTGCCCTGCAGGGTGCAAGCTTTGTGACAGGAAGCTACAAGAAGCTACCTGTTAGCCCTGGCAGGAGGCCAGCAAGAGACAAGTTGCAGGTGGAGAAGAGTTCCTACTAGCTTAAAGCCATGTTTCTCCACGGGGTTGAGCTCCTCCCTCAACCCTACTACCCTGGCCTGCTTTAGAGAGATTTCCCTGCCTTCAGTCTCATTCCCTGAACTCTAGCCCTTCAGTGCCTGGTGCTATGTCCCACATGTAAAATGCACAAAATAGTTATAGAATAGACTAGAAGAGAATATAAAGCAGCCAAACTTTGCCCAAGCATAGAAGCAACCTTAATGTCTAATGAATGTGTGAGAGATGAATCAACTTGGAAATGGAGGTGAAACAGAATGGTGAAAGGACGCAATTGAGAACCTACTGTCTTAGGTTAATGGACGCAACTCATTGAAATATATTTGTTGTGTGGGATTAAATGGGTTAAACAGGTTGCAGAGATAAGTTGCAGTGCTACCTGAACAATGGGCTCACTGTCCAGTGTATATTAGAAGCGAATGCTGTGACACTGGCTTTGAGAAAAGAAAAAGCTTTATTGTGAGTCAACTGACAAGGAGACAGGGAGGCAACACTGGATCCATCTCCCCAGTCTGGGAGTGGGTCAAGCTTTTATGGCATTTAAAACTAATCCCAGGTGATGCCAGTGAAGCAGGTCAGCCAGGCTGGTGGTGGTAACAATTAGGTTGCTAAAGCTTTTCTCCTGAGCATGCCGGGTAACTCTGGCTCTGCATTACCCATAACTTAATCGTGGTTAATTGGTTTGAGCTGGTCCTACGGTTACAGCAGTAAATAGTAGAGCTGGCAGCCTGACTTCCAAAATGCTCCTTCCAGTCTATCATTTCCTATGGCCTGAAGCAATATGGGTAGTATGGGTAGCAGTTAAGAAGAGCTCAGGCATTGGGGTCAGATTGCCTGGAACCAGATTCTGCCTCCTACACTTATGAGTTGTGTAACCTGTGTAAGTGGTTTAACTTCTTTGTGTCTTGATCACTTCAACTGGGATATCATATTATTGCCCTCATAGGGTTATTAGGTAAAGTGCTAAGAACAATGCCTAACACAAAAGTAAAGACTCAGCAAATGTTATATGCTATTATTATTATTCTAAATTAAGACATCAAGGAAGGAAATAATTATAAGATGACTACATGAAAGCCTGAGGCAAGGGTAGGAATCTCAGGAGCTAGAGAAGTAAGTGTCTTTCCCAGCCAGGATATCAGGGTCCACAGCAGGATCTCAGCATAGCTGCAGGATGGATTGTAAGCTGGAGCCTGGGGTTCCCCTCATTGGGGATTCTGGACATCCAAGCAGCCCTGGAAACAGTGCTGGCCCAGGTTTGTTCAAGGACAGGATTCTGCTATTCATTGTCGCAGACAGGGACTCAGGTACTGCATGTTCCAGCCTGAAGCAAGCCCCATGGAAGCCACAGTTCAGTTTCTTCCATGAAGATGGAAATTCTACTCTGGTGATTCTGGTTTTCTTTGTTCCCCTTCTTTTGAAATTTGGTTTAGTTATTTCCTTAGTTTTCCAATTAACTTTCTCTTGACATGTTTTGTCTTTGCTACCAGGTACCCTCATGGCTAGACATGGTGGTGAGGTGGTATGAGTTCCTGCTTTAGACTAAGGAAGAACTGTTGGAGCTGAGCATAGAGAGACTCAGGTGACAATCAGAAAAGAGAGAGACAAGGCCATTGACCATAGCTGGCTTGGCCACTCTCAACCTATGTGCTTTGTACAATCACTCTGCCTCACTGAGCCTGATTCCTCATCTGTAAAATCGACATCATGATACCCACTCCCAGATGTTGTTCTTCCCAATGGCATAGGTATGTCAAGTGCATGCTCAGTACCTGCCATGTCATAGGTGCTCAGCAGGTGCTTGTCTACTTGGCTGCTTCACTAGTTCGCTTTCTTCCTTTCCACCCAGGATTTCTTGCCACATCTCACAAAGCTCACTCACCAACTCCCATTTGTGGGCATAGGCTGAGGTGAATTGAGGGCATGTGGCCATCACTTACTGAGAAGATCCCTGCCTTTCAGAGTCGGGGTCCCCAGATCCAGCTCTGTTTTCAGGCCCCTCACCTCTGTGTCTGGATGAATTGGCTCCAGCTGTTGTGCTTCCACCAGGAGCAGGTTATTTTGGCTTGAATGGGCAATTTGTTTGCTTTCTCCCCTGATGTGCAGTTGTTTTGTCTTCCCTTCCTGCAGAGAAAAAAGAGCTGACTGCGTTTCCTCTCTCCCTGTTCCACACAGACCCTTGGAAGGATTTTATTGGTGGCCTTTTCCTGGAGCACTCAGGCTTGCCAGACAGGCATTGTTAACGGGTTGGTTATTGGCAGGAAAGTGTGATGCCTCCTCCTTCTCCAAGCAGAGCCAGTTCTTTTACTAAATTGGAGCTATAATCTATGCACAGATTTTTTTTTTTCATTTCGCAGATAATTTCCAATTGTTGAACCATTCTACCTTTATAATATGTATGGCAGAACATCCGACCTTGGCATGAAACCCATCAAGCAATTTCATGTAATAATTTAATAGAAAAATAGAGAAATAACTCTTTTTTGGCACTGGGTATTCTACTGAGCAGTGATATTGCCAAACCCTAGGATCTTGAAAAGAGCTTAGAGGCAGATATAAACTTCTATGTTTCTATGCACAACGTGATAGGCAGAATGTAAATGCATTACCAATCTCATCCCATTTAATCCTCACAGCAAATTGATGAGCTGGTACTCTGGTTAATCCCATTGTCTAGGTAAGGGAAAATTAAGCCAAGGGTGAACAATTTACCCCACCCAGGTCACAAGAATAGGAAGAATTTGTGTCAGGTTTTTTACCCACGCCTCTAATTT